ATAAAGGTTTAACTATTCTCTAACATGTAGTCTCTAAGATTGAAACATTCTTTGATGTATTTTCCTATTTGAGTATTGATGATATATGAGAAACAAACAACAGTTTATCTAGTTGTTCTGGCTAAGTCCACACCAAGTAATTTTCATGGATGACGTCCAGACACGAAGGAATTCCCGCTTCTTGTAACCACGACCAAGGAGTCACGATAGTGGGAAAGGAAACTTTTAGGAAAATTGTCATTAAAGGAACAGGACAGGACGACAACTGCTGTTCCTTTGTATTGCTGTTTTCATGAAGAATAAAAGACCTGTAGCTGTTACACTGTGTTCTCTCCTCCAATTTGTGTCCTAACATTTGTCGTCCCTAAGTATATTTCAAATCTAGGCATCTTGCTTTTTTGGCCCTTGATTTTTTTCGCGCTCTCGCATTTGATTTATCGTCTTCAGAGGACGTCATCCATAGAAATTACTTGGTGTGGCCTTGGCTGCCCAACTATTATCAATCAAGGGTGAACCTTGAGGGTAATATGTCGAAAGGTGTGGTGGGTTCTTTTACGTGCGTGGGGTGTGGCTCTCCCCAAACACGGGAACTCAATCCAACGTCCTATCCGAGGGACGTCCCTAACCGAATCTAGGTACTCATTTTCACATGAGTGAAGTGAGGAAAGTCGGTAAAAAGGTACAACGTCGGGGCATGTAGGCAGATTTGAAGCCAGGACCTATATGGGTTTTGAGCCTAAAACCCTACCATCTTGCCACAAGACGGCACAAAACAACAGTTCTTTTCAGTCAGTATATATCAAGTGGATAATGCACACTACTTTGTATTTTTGTAGATTTTACAGTTAATTTACACATATTAACATTTTAACATGACAAAGAATTCATTTCTAAAACAGATAATCAGATGTTTAGAATTGTGGGCGAAAACCTGTATAATCTAACCAGATATCATCATTTTTCATCAAAATATATCCAGTGTGTGTTGAGGATGCATCGACACAAAACTAGCTTCTGTAGCTGACAGAAACGCCCTCTATGAACATCATGTATATTGCACCAATGGCTTATTGCGGAAAAAAGCACCTTTCAGGTGACACAGCCGAATGCAGCCTCCTGAACGCTGCAACCATGGTTAGGAGTAGGTTGGGAGTAGGTTGGGAGTAGGTCGGGAGTAGGTCGGGAGTAGGTTGGGAGTAGGTTGGGAGTAGGTTGGGAGTAGGTTGGGAGTAGGCCGGGAGTAGGCTGGGAGTAGGTCGGGAGTAGGCTGGGAGTAGGTTAGGGAGCAAAGTTGACTGCTAGTCGGTCAGGTCGGCTAGTAGTCGTCTGGGCTAGCCAAATGTTTCAAAATGTTTGAAACATTACGAAGTAGACGGGGGATTGGGGAACGGTTGGTGGCTGGTTGGCTGGATGTCGGGGCGTGGTTGCAATTTGGCGTCAAATTTGACTCCCAACCACGCCACAATGCCTGCTTGACCTACTCTCAACCAGTTCCTAACCTACACATGACATACTCTGGTTCTTCACGTAGACGAATGCCTCCACATTTCTTCCCAACCGAGGGGACTAATAAGAATACTATAACCTTTATTGTGCACATACAAGCCCTGTCGGACTAAGTACAGGTGAACAGATGAAAAGGTATATACATGTTTGTAGCACAAACAGGACATTTGATCTACTAATCGAAGGTAGATGACAGATAACTATGAAGACAAGAGACAAGAAAAGGCTTTGGTTCTTACTTTGATGCAGTGATATGTGATGCTGGTTGTGTATATGTGATGTTCGCACTGAATAAACCATTTGTACAATGATTGAGTCAAAATTTCAAAATGTAGAAACCTTGTTTTTTTCGGCCCGCCTTGTTTTTCTGGAGTCTGCATCGATGTTATCCATAAAATTTACTTGCTGTGGCCTTAACTGTCAAGGTACGTAAGAAAAAAATGGTGCCTCCTAACATTTTCTGACATCAAAGGCACAATGTAGTAATTACGTTAGAATTATAACAGGCCATTTTGCGTCTACTCGGAACAGTACACACCCTGAATATTCATCTGAAAATACATATCAGTATTCTGAAATCGAAAACAGTTCCAATATTTTATTTCAGAGGATAGCAGCATCCATTAATTCATTCTCTGTTCGAGTCTTTCTAGGAAGGAACGTTTTACCACATATTTCCTCTAAATTCTGTTGCAGATAGCTAAGCAATGGCAACAGTGTTTTCAAAGGTGCAGCAGCACCCCGTGAATCCAGACTCCCCAACCTATTATCAGCTCAAACTGTAGTACTAGCGTTAACTGCTAGATGTCGCTAATGTACAGTTTTCGTCATTCTGGCCAATGTTTGAAAAACGTACGGAAAGGTTGATAATGATTCGTAATCCATGAAGGTACAATCAATTGTGTTGACACGTGAGTTTTTTTTTTAAACACTAAATTCTTGACAGATTGCATGTATGAAACCGATAGATATATCAATGCCTCGAATAAAGATCCGTCATCTAAAAATGATGTGTTTTTCAAACAAACATTTGAGATTGTAGATGAAAAATCATATCAAAGGGTCAATTTTTTCTGTCTACGAATTTGGACCCGCATGTTTTCTTAATTATTCAAAGGATCGTCGTGTGGCGCGTTCGGCTCAGGGTCAAGAGGTCCGGGGTTCGATCCCCACCCATGTTACCGATCTTGTGCCCGTGAGAAAGGCACTTTACACGACTTTCGAATTCCTCACTTCACTCAGGTGTAAATGAATATTATTATCATGCCCCGACTCTGTATCTGTTTATTTAGGCCAATATGTACATACTGCTATACAAAAGAGAAACCGTGTCACTGCAAGGTGAAATGTAACATTCCATTAGAACATATATACATGCATTGAAGTTAGATTAGTACACTAGTAGAAATAGTTAATAGTTATTTAGTGTTACTTGCCATACATTGTATCAAATACAGCGCAATAAACTTGACTTGGCTGTAAATGAGTACGTAACTTCGGTTATTATTATTAGTTAGGGACGTCCCTCGGATAGGACGTTAAATGGAGGTCCCGTGATTGGGGAGAGCCACACCCTACACACGTTAAAGAACCCACCACATCTTTCGAAAAAGAGTAGGGGCATGTCCCGATGTGCGATGGTACAAATTCTACAATCCGGAGTCTTGCCAAGAATTGATGTGCCAGAATGATCAGTATGATTATCGTTGGCATTAAAGGAAAGACAAGACAGGACTTAAATTTTGAAGGCGCAAATTTGCCAGAAAACCCGTTTCTCCCAACAAGTATCCATCCGGAATAACAAATTCATCAATAACGACGTGTGCACAGAAATGCATTTTATTCCATCTTCAGTAAGCTGCATATGCATAATGACAACAGAATTACCAACAAAACTGGTAATATCTTAACAGTTAACACTATACCGTCATAATTCTAGCCGTGTTACTTTTGCTAGAGTATACTTACTGCATGCAAGCTATGCTAGCAAAACTCTTGGTAAGTCTTACAACAAGTGACTATATTTCTTCTGTATCGTTCTATTCAGGTATCCCATAGGGATTACATTGGCATATCTGTATTGCCGGTATAACCGCCCTTCGCCGTAACACACCAGCTTCGCAGGCACGCGGCGCGGCGGCAGCTGGCTACATTGCACCGATCGACACGTTACACCTAACCCTTGAACTTCTAACTCTAAACATTGTTTAAAGCTATCTAATGACAATGCCCCTGCTGTACTTGGTGACAGCGAGTTCCACTCTGCGATAGTTCTAGGAAAGAATGAATTCTTGAACACCTCAATCTTTTCAACTTGTCACTCTAACACTAATTATATATAGTAGACGACATTGCGTTTACAGCATGTGTTTGAAGATATAAAATGTTGATTGTAACCATCCATAAGATCGTTCTTTTGAATTACTGGATAATCTAGACGTTTAGTTTTGGTTGTTTTTATCTTTCGGTTCGGTAGAGGTTAGTTAGATAGGCGGAAAATTGAAAAATAAATAAATAAATAAATAAATATTTGAATGAATAAATAAAAAATAAATAGGCGAATGTAATACATATCTAAACATACAACTGCGTATTACGTAACTAAAAACAGATAAATATGAATAAGAAAATATGGCTGATCCAATGCAAAAAGAATCAGATAAATTTCAAGTATTACATATACTGCACGACTCCAGTACTATATACTGAGCGCCATTTACAATATGGCTTAAAATGCCGGTAGGCAGACAAATAAAATTTTGAAATATATATAGATTGTACTCTTATTAAATCCAAACAGTATTCTTATTTCTCTAGTGAATCCTTGTCTAATTTTTTCCGAATCAAAGTGAGCCACCGTGTGGCCTTATTGAAGTCCCCATAGGGCGAATATTCGTTTCTGCTAATTTCAATATGAAATACGTCACAATTCTAAGTGCGCATGTGCAGTCCATGTCAAAGTTTATGAAATCCCTTTTGCTAGCGAACAATTTACGATTGTCCACGTGCAAGGGAAGAGTTTGAAAAAATTATGGAAGTTATTAAAAACTGCTTAGGGTTTTGAAATTTTACCTACATCACAAAAATCATAATCACAGCATGTTTAAAGTTAAAACTTTTGGTCCAACACAAAAAAGAATTCTCTCACCTAGAGCTTTCGACTAGACACTCTGGTCTTCCTCAGTAGACTGACCCAGTGAGGCTTGTCACGTGGCTTCTTTGAAGTGTGACGTCAACACTGGGTCAAAGGTAGACGATGTCGGCCCCCGTCGCGGTTCAATGAAGGGTGACGTCACACTTCAAAGAAGCCACGTGACAAGCTTCACTGGGTCAGTCTACTGAGGAAGACCAGAGTGACTGGTCGAAAGCTCTAGGTGAGAGAACTTTTTTTGTGTTGGACCAAACGTTTTAACTTTAAACATGTAACTACCAACACAGATGAACTTTCATGATAGCATAATCACAGCATATGCGCACCTAGAAATGTGAGAAAGCTTATATAGCCTTACGCTTCAAACTACCTGACTGGTAGTAAGTTTTTCCTTGACTAGGAGGGCTTGGTGACGTCATCACTGCGCATGCGCATGCATGCCGGCCCGCATGGCCCTCAGATCATCACGGAATGACGTCAGCTGACGCTTGAACGTGTGCAGAAGGATCACACTGCAGGGGGTCGACTTGACGTGATCAGGCATGTCAATGTTGAGGGAACGGATCTATCGAAACAAAAGGGAAAAATCACAATCAGTGTCATCGCAATCTTCGCACGCATTTTTGGCGACGTCTCAGGGAGGAGCCTAATTGTGTGCAGTTTGCAAGAATTTTAGGAATGGTACAGGCCAACATCTATGCCCACATTCCTGGAAACCCTTGGGAAGACCTCTCTGCCCCGGATGGCCCTACTTTCTGTGACCCCGGGGCTCGTTCACTATACACTCAGGGGAGGAGTGCACTGTATCTGTCTAGACTTAACAGGTACCAAGTCTTCCTCAAAATCATGAAATGATGGCAGTGCTATGCAAACAATAACCCTAACAGCAACCACCGTCGCCATGGCAATGTATGTTTTCATTTGTTGGGTGGTTTGGCAAATAATCTAGTCTTCAAATTCATTTCTTTACATTTTCGTCTTTTTCGTTTGATGTTGGCATTCTACGACATTGGTATCGTTTTCCAATGTTTTTTTTTTTTCAACTTACGGTATATATTTGATCATTTCGCAACTGTTTTGTACGATTTACTGTATGGTTGAATTTTTTTTTTTTTTTTTTTGGAAACGGCCGAAAATTCATCATGAGCGCGTGGATGTCATCCATATAATCAAATCAACATGGCCTAATGAAATAACTAGAAAATGTACTTTTTGTAGCATCCTGAGCTTTTAAGGTGTCCTCCCTGGCTAATTTGGCATTTCAACTTTCCATCGTTTTCTCACAGAGAAATTAAGAAAGAACTGTAGTTGTACTGAATATTGATACCTGGGTACAAAGGGGTTATGAATATGATTTTATGGACCATATGGATGACGTCATCACATTTTGTTGCCCCAAATGTAATTATCTTTAAAGTTATAATATATTACTTTGGTACAAGTAACTGAAATAAAAGTATTATCTTCATGTGCATAATGGTCAAAGCTACAAACGTACGTTTGCACAAATATCTACTAATTACCCGTAGTTATTAGAGAATAACTAGATTTTAATTAGGCAAATAGGTTATTTACCGTGTCCTGGACTTGACGGACAGCCCTTGGGATGTTGTCGTTCCCAGTGCCGTTCTCGTCCCCTGTATAGTCTGGTCCCAGGTTCTTCAGCAAAGGTTCGATGGTACAGTTCCACAGCTTCAGTGACAACTGACTCGTCATCAGCTCTGCCTTAATCTTTGAAAAAAAAACGGTAGAATACCGTCAGTACATTGCCTTTTTGGCGACGTCTCAGGGAGGAGCCTAATGGTACAGTATTGTGTGCAGTTTGCAAGAATTCTAGGAATGGTACAGGCATTTTGTCCACAGGAATGGAATGTCCACAGGCATGCCTCTGACCCACATCTATACCCACATTCCTGGAAACCCTTAGGAAGACCTGGCTGCACCCAGATAACCCTACTTTCTGTGACCCCAGCAGGGCTCGTTCACTATACACTCAGGGGAGAAGTGCACTGTATCTGTCTAGACTCTATAGGTACCAAGTCTTCCTCAAAATCATGAAACGATGGCAGAACCATGCAAACAATAACCCTAACAGCAACCACTGTCGCCATGGCAATGCATGTTTTCATTCCACAACACATAACTTTCTCGGTATTATGATACATACAAAGTTTAAACATCTGTCAAAACGTGTATTCACCAGTTTCCCATCCCCAGAATGCAATGCTCAACATTAATTACATTACTATGCCTATGGGTCGAATCTGACAACAAATAGAGAATGAAGTTTTTGTGTTCTTTTCAACATGGAACATGTGGTTTGTACGTTACAGCATCAGTATAGCGTTACCACTATAACGTTTAACACAAACCATATATTCCAAAAAATTCATTCTCTATTTGTTGTCAGATTCAACCCATAGTACTGTAGTTAACGTTGAGCATAAAACCACATCAAAACAAGCTGTTTAACGTCATCAGGATCATTCCGATGCCTTCCTGTCCTATGCAAATGAGTTTAGACCCCCTGTTTTCGCATTGCATTCTGGGAATGGGAAACTGGTGTATGAAATTCTCTAGTTTGTTACCTGAGTTACGGTCATGGTGTGGTTGTGGGGGGCCAGTTGTGGCCAGTTGCACATTGGGTTGTCCAATCCACTCAGGAAATGGCAGTCATTGTTGTCGCACTACAAAAAGGGCATCACAGAAATCAGAATAAGAATCAGTTTAGTCATAGCAAAATAACTTCGTTTGCCCTCGTTAGGCCATGTTGATTTGATTATACGGATGACATCCCCTGGGAACCCCAAAACTGATGCGCGCGTGCGAATAAAAAAGTTTTGCAAAAGTCTTGAATACCACACACTTGTGCTTTGCATAAATAGGCCACAGCAAGTAATATTTATGGATGACATGAGCGCGCGCATTAATTTTCGCCTGATTTTGGAGAAAAAAAACACAAGAAATTCTGTTGCCTTCTGGCGTCATGACAGTGGTCAACATGCCGAAAATGGGAAAAGGTGTCTGTTGCCATGCCGGAAGGTGGATGGCAGATACCTATGAAGAGAGGAGACAAGTAAAGGCTCCGATCCTTGCTCCGATTTAATGTTTTGTTTCTTACTTTGATACAGTGATATGTGATGCTGGCTGTGTATATATGATGTTCCTACTGAATCAAAACCATTTGTACAATGATTGAGTCAAAATTTTAAATTGTAGGAACCTTGTTTTTTCGGCCCGTCTTGTTTTTTTTTCCCCGCTCGCATTAGATTTGGAGTCTGCGGAGGATGTCATCCATAAAATTTACCTGCTGTGGCCATACGTCCGGTGCGCACCATTCATTCCAGAGGCACAACAAAGCATGCACATGATTGTGTTACCAGTCTTGTGTTGTTGACTACCGTTTCTGTGGCATTGCATTTGCCGAGCTATTGTTTGAAGGACTATAATGTTTCACCTCGACAAGTTAGCCTCAATAGCATGCCAAAAAACTGGGTGTTTTTGGGGGGTCTTCAGGGTCTTTGGGAGCTTTTATGTGGTATTTTCTGATTGCATATGGACAACATAGCCGGACTGGTTGAGTTACCTCCGTTTTTTTTAGAACTTAGCCTGGGTTCCAGACCCATAGCACGCTGGACACAAGTGTGCTATGGGTCTGGAACCCAGGCTATTTAGAACTGGGCTAATCAGAAAACAACCGAAGACCACCAAACCCCCAGTTCTATAAGCCTGCTACGGAGATCACTATCTGCTTGGAGATTACGTCATGATAGATTGCGGGAAATTTCAAAATGGCGACTTTTGTTTTTTCCGCTTGGATACCAAACACCCGACGTGCCCCCAGAGTTAGGGGTAGGGCATTCAGATATCACATGCACAGGAAGTTACAGGAACGTAATAAGAAGAATCAACGTCATGATAACTTCCGGGAAATTTCAAAATGGCGATTTGTTTTTTCCGCTTGGATACCAAACACCCGAACTATCGCAGGGAAGCCCCTCCCACTTCCTAGCAGATGTAAAGGTACGTCTTTGTAGTAGAACAATTTTTTTTGTCTTTTTCTTCTCCTAGCACCTCTAAAAAAAGTACAAAGACTGAGAAGACAAAGAATACGTGTGAATCACGGCCAAGTAAAAGAAGGATTAAATTTAAAATACTACATACGACGTACAGTTAAGCACTGAGCTTTCGGACACCATCCGTAATATTTCATCATTTCGTGAATCACGACAATTTTATAACGACTTCATACTTACTTTGCGAATAATATCAGCATGATATTTAAAAAAAACGGCATAAACTTCTGTCAAGAAAGGTATAGTCTTAACAACATTAAATATGTAGCCCTGTTCCATTTTCGATGGACACAAACAATTTGGGGTCGTATGGCGTAGCGGCTCAAATAGTGCGCGACTCGGAACTAAGAGTCCCGGGTTCGAGTTCTGACATACCACCGATCTTGTGCCCTTGGGAAAGGCACTTTACACGGCTTTCCTCACTTAGCTCAGGTGTAAATGAGTACTGTCCAGTCATGTATTTGTCCCCTGTGTTGGTGGCGGCATTAATATAAGTTGAAGAAACTTGAGTGTGTCGTCACCACGTCTGGTGATTACATGTTGAAATAAAAAAAGAATTGGAATCTTACTTCGCGGTCCTTCATGTCGTTGTACTGGATGTGTACCCTGGTCTCCAGTTCCCTTACCGCATCACTCACACGGCGAAGCTCGTGCATCAGGCCGTGTCTTTCGGACGAGCGCCGCGGTCTAGGATGTCCCACCGACGTCGGGATTCCAAGTAGACACATACCGACGAAAAGTACCAGGATTTTGGTGAATGCCATTTCTGCTTCTTCTAAAAGAAAACAAAAACGCAATCTTTTTCACAATCATAATCACAACTTGTGGAAGACAAAAATGCAACATATATTTTATAGTAGTGGGATACTAAAAGATCTCTCTAGTTTTTGTTCTCACTTATAAGCATGCCTCAAAAATCTTCAAGGTACTTCTTTTCTCTTTTTTTTAATCCTTGAAACACATAATCTGCATTACTAATATTAGTCTCTACCAGACTAACTACGCTGGCTATATATAGGAGAATAGTTGCCAGGGTAGTTTGCCCGCCTTGTAGGTTTGACTGGCGCGGAGGGAAAGAAACTACCTCCCCGCGGCCGAACTCCCTTGGCCAATTTTACTCTCTTTTTTTGCCGAATTCTACGATCCGTATTCCCGTAGAAAGGCCTGGTGGACTAGATTAATATCATGTTAGACTAGATACGATTTAGCAAGGATAGAAAAATATGAGAAAACAATTCGAGTAAGAGAATCAGCTCACCTGATTTCTTGTCTTCCACACGTACAAGATGTATGCTTGGACAGAACGTATCTTACTGACAAATTGCCGTTTTGGAACCATATTTATGCTTGTCTAAACGGATGTTTCTTTATTTAGCACAAGTGAGGTCAACTATTTTTACCCACCGCTCTACTTATTCCTGGAAGATTCTATAGTGAGTGTCAAGATCTTACGTCTAGCCGTCTCCTTGTGACGCATTCTCTCGGAAAAGTGGGTTGGTGACGCAACCAGGCGTTCCCAATGCAAGTACCGGTATGTGGTGGTCATGCGTGCTGCACTACTCATACCTGACTCAAGTTACCGGTGCCTTTGTCACACACCAATACGACTTTTCGAGGAGTGTCGGAAGACCAGGGTTAGGCCACAGCAAGTAAATTTTATGGATGACATCCTCCGGTCACGCTATGGTTTTTTTTGCTCATGATTCAAAATTGTACAGGAATACAGGAACAAACATGTGGGCGACGGACTTGAGGTAATGAGTGAAAATTCAATCACACACTCACGGCCACCCAATGGACAGTTCCCATGGTTTTGTCTTCAACATCGGATGCCACAGCAAGTAAATTTCATGGATGACATCCTCCGCAGACTCCAAATCTAATGCGAGCAGGCGAAAAAACAAGGCGGGCCGAAAAAAACAAGCTAGGTTCCTATATTTTAAATTTTTTACTCAATTAACTTGTACAAATGGTTTTGATTCAGTGGGAACATCACATATACACAGCCAACATCACATATCACTGCATCAAAGTAAGAAACAAAACATTAAATCAGAGCCTTTTCTTGTCTCATCTCTTCATAGTTATCTGACATCTACATGTACATTCCGGCATGGCAACAGACATCTTTGCCCATTTTCGGCATGTTGACTATTGTCAGAAGGCAACAAAATATCTTTCTTTTTTCCAAAATCAGGCGAAAATTAATGCGCGCCTTGATGTCATCCATAGAAAATATTTGCTGTGGCCTTAGCCCACTGAGTTCTACTCAAAGTTATACTCGTATATTTGATATTTTGTTCCCAATGCAATTACAGGTATGTGGACGTCACTCGCGCTATAACTACTTATATTTAGCTACGCTATACTATACACATAACCTGACTCAAGTTACAGGCGCCATTGTCACCGATGCACGCACCACTTCTTTTTTCAAAAAGGAGGGTCGGAAGCCAATTGTTAGTCTCACTGAGTGCTACCTGAGTTCACTGAGTTCTACTTTAGTTCACTGAGTTCTAATCTACTAGTTGTACTCGTATATTTGACAAGGTTCTCCCCCAAGACACGTTTTTACAAAATCCAAATGATAGAACAGCACTTGTAAACGATCTTAGGAAGAATATTTCTTGTTCATTCATTCAAATCCGTTGGTAACATAAGAAGACAACGCTTGAAGTAAACGATACTATAAGGGCTTGGCTCAGAATTGAACGGGCTATCCCCATGTTGATTTTTAAAAAAATCGTGAAGAGACGAAAGACCATGTCACCAGCTATTTAAGTCAGTAGGGGCACTTAGATGAAATTTAGATATCTAAACAAGCATATGATATTCAAAGACATTTCAAACTCTATTTGGGATGGGGTCGTGTGGCGTAGCGGCAGAGTGCGCGACTCGGAACTTAGAGTCCCGGGTTCGAGTCCTGACATGCCACCGATCTTGTGCCCTTGGGAAAGGCACTTTACACGGCTTTCCTCACTTAGCTCAGGTGTAAATGAGTATTGTCCTGTCATGTATTTGTCCCCTGTGTTGGTGGTGGCATTGATATAAGTTGAAAAAACTTGAGTGTGTCGTCACCACGTCTGGTGATTACATGTTGGAATAAAAAATAAAAAAAACTCTATCACCGGATACATCAGGAAGCTTACTTCCGGACAGTTCGAATGAACTTAAAATGAGCTTACAGAACTATCACGTATCACGTGTATAGGAAGCGGAAGGACTCTTCCCTGTCACCGTTTTGTAACTGAGGATAAGGCCACAGCAAGTAAATTTTATGGATGACATCTACGCGCGCATTGATTTTTGCCTGATTTTGAAAAAAAAAACAAGACATTTTGTTGCCCTCTGACAGTGGTCAACATGCCGAAAATGGGCAAAGATGTCTGTCGCCATGCCGGAAGGTGGATGGCAGATAACTATGAAGAGAGGAGACAAGAAAAGGCTCGGATTTAAAGTTTTGTTGTTCACTTTGATGCAGTGATATGTGATGCTGGCTGTGTATATATATATATATATATATATGTGTGATGTTCTCACTGAATCAAAACCATTTGTACAATGATTGAGTCAAAATTTTAAAATGTAGGAACCTTGTTTTATTCGGCCCGCCTTGTTTGTTTTTGTTATTTTGCCCTCTCGTATTAGATTTGGAGTCTGCGGAGGATGTCATCCATAAAATTTCCTTGCTATGGCCTAAGTATACATCCGATGTTGAAGACAACACCATGGGAACTGTCCTTGGGTGGCCGTGAGTGTGTGATTGAATTTGCAATCATTACCTCAAGCCCGCCCACGCGTTTCTCCCTGTATTCCTGTACAATTTTGAATCATGAGTAAAAAATACCATATCGTGACCGTAGAACGGACGTCACAAGAAGCGGCGATGCCCCCGTGTTTTTTCTCTAGCACCTTGTAAGGCCACAGCAAGTCCGCCCACAACTTGTTCCTGTATTCCTGTACAATTTTGAATCATGAGTAAAAAATACCATAGCGTTACCGTAGTACGGACGTCACAAGAAGAAGCGGCGATGCCCCCGTGTGTTGTCTCTAGCATCTTGTAAGGCCACAGCAAGTCCGCCCACAACTTGTTCCTGTATTCCTGTACAATTTTGAATCATGAGTAAACAAGTGCTTTTGCAAAAGCTGCCATTTTCGCAGCAAATTTTTTATGAAAAGGCTTACAGTTTTTACGAACTGGTGGATGGCAACAAAATCAGTGTCAGATATAGTGATTAGTCTCTGCAATATATTTACACAAATATGTGTAATGTTATTATAGTCATGTACATATAAGGATTATAAACTTTAGATATAATAGACTAGTTCACATGTCATTACCGGTAAACTTATTATCACTTTTTTACCATCAGTATCATATTGATTTCTTAACAGTTTTAGTAGGATCCATACTTCTGTGGTGCAGGTACAATCTCTATTGAATAGGTAATTTTCAATGTTACATGCACCAGTTCAGGTATGCAAAAATATATTTCGAGCCCTGAGTGCATTCACTAGGCTATGTTTAGTTCCATATGAATCATAAGTAAAAAATACCATATCGTGACCGTAGTACGGACGTCACAAGAAGCGGCGATGCCCCCGTGTGTTTTCTCTAGCATCTTGTAATCAAGTTTAGTCACATCCGTGGTTAGTTATTTTGGGCCAAAAGAATAGAGCAAGCTTCCATTTGAAGTCATCTGATCATGAGGTCATTTGGATGTCTCAATACAGAAATGTACTTACTAGTGGGGGTGGCGCGAAATAAATTTCCTTTCCTTTCGCTCAAAATTCATGTCTTTATTTTGTCGTACACTGCTTTAAGAATTGGTTGATGACAAGACGGTAAATTTCTATTCAACAAGGAAACGTGCTACAAATATGTCAGCAAAAAGAGTCCACACCCCTGCATAATGGTTTGCTCCAGGGTGTGCATTATTCTGCAACAAAGCACACTTGTGAGAATAAAGCACACTTGGGATGATTTTGAAATACTTGTATCATGCTAACTGTGATATTATGGTGTCACAATCAATATGGGATGGGGGCTTCTGATTGTAATCAAGTTAAGTTAAATCCGTAACCCGTCTGTAATAAGGCCACACAGACTTAATTCTATGGATGACATCCTATGAAGACCCCCAAATTAGTGCCCGCGAGCGAATAAACAAAACTTCCGGCCCAAAATGAAAATGCTACTAAACCACTAGCCTCTACCAGGCTTGGGGAGGCGGCTGGAAAGAGTAGAAATCGGCCAAATAGAGAGATAAGCATGGCAAGGGAGTTGAGAGAACA